ATATATATATATATATCTTGCTAGCAGTAGATATAAGCAAAAAAACAAAACTAAGGTTTAACTGTACTTTAAGTTTGAAGGGCCAAAAACACACAAAGTTCTGCCCGAAAAAAGCTCATGTACTTGTTTTAAACATCAAAATGCAAGCAACACAATGTTTAGGTGTGAATGGGCTCATTGAAATTAATGGGAACTTTCATGTTGAGTGTTGTCACACTTTGGGAAACAGGTGAAGAAGCGGTTAGGTGTGAATGGGGACTAAACTCTGTACAGGCACCCCTATTAGTTTTTCTAGTAGATACAGTTTGCAGGTATTCAGTGATCTTACCATGCAGCATAGACATAACAACAGGAGTAGTGGATATGGAGGGGCTGCTATGTATTGTGCATCCAAGTCACTTACACTGCCAAACGATCCAGGATCAAGCCAGGCGAACTGTCACCACGCAATGCGATGTCACTCCTCGCCGAACAAACGCACCAATCAGAATTTCATTGATGTCACACTACTACGGAATCCCTTTTAGGACAAATCCAAAGACTGTCAATACCTAGCCAAGGACGCGAACGCATTTGTGCTTACTAGTGTACATTTGCTTAAAGCATTTCCGTCTTTTTGAGGCTGCCAATATTTCCCAAAGTTATCATGGAACTTTGAGCTTCGACAAAATGGCTTCACGATACATTTTATTAGAAGCATTAGTGAGGAAGCAAGAGACGTTATATGTGGCCTCTAGTAGTCGAAGGATGTTTATACGGAACTATTACCAATGTTTTTTTTAACATTGATTGAGTTAAATAAAACTATGAAACGTAATGGCGATAAATCAAAAATAATATTTGATTTATGGAAGTAGTGAGAGTGAGATATAGAAAATGCAAGTTTTTATCTCGAGGCAGTGTGACCCTTCAGGCCTCCCGTAACAGGCTGACAATCATGTGAACTGAACACAGGAAGGGGCACGAGGAAGACAGAGTATAGAGGTTCATTTATACAGCAGTCATGAGCCTCACATCATCAATTCTCCTGTGAGTGTCCCATCTCATAATGACAGCTAGCACAGTCTACGTGTGCCAGTTACCTTTTAGTAGTAGTAGTAGTAGTAATGATGATGTGTGACTGGATTCTGTTGGCACATTAAAGGTGATAATACAATATATGATTATCTGATTGTACAATTCCCTTTAGATCCACCATGAACTATGTAGTGCTTAGGTGTGCCTGATGTGATACTAATTGAATTGGTTGTTTTGGTTTGTCCTCATATCATTTACTTTTTTTTTGTGGTACAAAGGTCTGTTTGATTTAATACTATTTAAAAGGGTTGTTTAGGTTTGTCTTTACATTGCATGATTTTGGTAAAGGTAAAGGAAATGTTACAGATTTTGTACAATCATTGTGTATAATGTATGGCCTTCTTAAAAGGCATTGGGGGGAATTTATGAAAACTGGAGCAGACAAAATCTGGAGCAGTTACCTATGGCAACCAATCAGCATCTCTTTTCAGTTTGCTCAGTTAAGATTTGAAAATAAAAGATAGAAGCTGATTGGTTGCCATACAAATCTGCCCCAGATTTTTTCTGCTCTAGTTTTGATAAATTCCCCCCATTGATTGCATAGTGTATGGTCAAGTTAAGGCTTGCAACACCCGTTAAAGTCTGACCATACAATCTCTGTATAGTCAACTTTAGAGCTGTCAAAACTATGCATTATGAGGGCCTTCCAAATCTATATAATCAATTTACATCCAATCAGACAGGCACTTGCCTTACATACTTGTTGGTAGATCTCAGACATCCCAACTCTCCCGGATGCTCCGGGAGTCTCCCACTATTAGATAGCGGCTCCTGGCCGCCCGGGAGAGAAACACTTTCTCCCGGAAAGATTTACTCTGCTTGATCGAGTTGAGTAAACCTTTCCCTGCTGTTTTTTTTCTGACAGAAAAAAAAAAACAGCATAGGAATGCATAGCTAGATTCCTATTGGCTATTTCACTTTGCAATAGCCAGTAGCAAACTAGCTACTGCACCTGCCCACTGCTGCTGTCAATCAGCAGAGGTGGACCTGAAGTTCTTCATCAGGTCCCCTTCTAGTGATTGACAGCAGCAAAGGGCGGGTGCAATCGCCAGCTTGCTATTAGATATTGCAAATTGAAATAGCCAATAGGAATCTAGCTATGCATCCCTATGCTATTTTTTTAAAATTATTATTCTCACGTCAGCAGCTGCCAGAATACTAAAAAAAAACTAAAACCTGCAGATAGCAAAGAAGCTATTGCTTCTAAACAATGGCAGAGGACACCTCCCTGAAATGAGAAGGGCACCTCCCTGAAATTGCTTCTTTCAGGTTTGGATCCCTGAGATCTATAGGAAATTGCAATGTGTGTGGTGAGCTTTAGGGACATCTTTCCTTTGGAAAGTCATGTAGTATCCCATGGACTATGAAAGTAGCTTTTTCTTTATAGGCTGCCCGACATATTTAAAGTAGATCTCAACTCAATCACTAAACTTTCAAGTCAATGTGATTTAAAAATAATTTTAATAATTCTTTTGAATCTGCATCTTTCATTAAGAAAACACCTGGTGATCCTGCTATACAGGTTGTTGTTCAGTCACATGCTATTTAAGGGTGACAACGTTTTGTTGTCTACTAATTGTTTCTCTATCTTGTCACCCATCACATGCTCTCCCACTGGGGACCGCAAACAGTCTTGCCGACTCACATCGCACAGGGGTGTTTCACGGTTGTCACCAGCAGGAAACCTGCCCTGAGAAATGCCATGCATCATGGCAGGAGTACATGCATATAGAAAGGAAGGTGGCTGTGGGAAGTCAGCAGCACTAAAATGCAACAAAAGACATAACAATTTGATTTTACAAAAAAAAAAATGTAATTATTTACGCACAGTGATCTAACAAACTAAATATAATTCATTTGCAGCTTATATCTACTTCGATATCATAGTAAAAGAGAAGTATTGCGCAATGGCCCATAGCAACCAGACAGTCATTATTGTCATCTGTTTTCTCACGCCTGGTGTCTAAAAGATGACTTCTGATTGCTTGTTGTGGGTTATTATTTATATTCGCTTGCTTCATTTTGGGCTGCAAAGGAGAAGTATTGGGACAGTAAAATGTACTCTTCCCAATTCTTAGAGCCGGAATAGGACACTGCAGGTGTCACATGCCGGCTCTATACCATTTATAGACCTATTAAATTTAATCAATTAGTTGTTGCAGCCCTTCTTCTGTCTGTCCATTGCTTTCAACAACTTTCTGGATCTCCTGTGTGCATTGCATCTCTTTCCCTGCTGCTTGATGTGATGCAATCTCGATTTCACAAGACTACATATCCCATCATGCACTGCTTCCAGCAAGCAATGATGATGTTACATTGTTTAGATGTTGAGTTGTAGTTAACGGCATGCTTAGTTAGAATGGTGACAAAAGGAAGTGCATATTCACAGAACTGAGTGAAATTGTGTCAGTGCATTGAGGAAGCACATCCTATGGGCATTTTCATTAAGTACATTTACAAACTACTAGATTGATAGGGTATTAGGAGTAGGATAGAATAAATGGAAAGTCAATATGGAAATACATGTTTATTTTTATATTTGAACATAAGAAACCATTGCAGTGCTGGGAGTAGCCCCGTGTTCAAAGGGAGTTTTTTTCCCCCGGGCTTTTAGTGCCGAAATATCTGTAGAATCCTCTTTATTCAACATACTTCCAAGATTGTCAGATTTCTGGTCCCCTACTCCTTCTGCGAGCTTCTACATCACTACTCCATCGCTCTCTTGGAAGTGTGTCAGATGAGGAAGTTTTTCTAGGCACCGTAGCTCTTGAAGAGAGCAGAGATCAGCGGTACGGGCAAAGCCTATTATGTATCTCTTCCCTACAGGTGAACCTTCTTTTTGTTATTGTGACAGGGTCACTTTTAATACTGTGGGCCACTAACCTGTATCTAGTATGCAAATAAGAACGTATTTGGTTGTAAGGCTTCCACTTGAGCTTCCAGCTCAACAAAGACAGCGCCTATGTTTCTCTCATGACATTTCAGGCAGTGTTATGATATGGGGTTGCTTCAGTTGGTCAGGTCTAGGTTCAGCAACGTTATGTGCCCAAAAACTGAGGTCAGCTGCCTACCTGAATATACTGAATGACCAGCTAAAGGCGACAGGTCTAACGAAATATTAGAGTGTTTGACTTTTGTTCCTGGCCAGGCAGTGTAGATGCAAACTTATAGAAGGCAATGAACATTGTATAATGTTTACAATACTTTTCTAATACAATATATAGTACTTAAACCTTGTGGTTCATTTTATTATTTGCTGCTATTGTCCTTTATCTAAATATTTAGTGATACAAAAGTGACGCTTCTCTGTGTCATTGCAAAACAATACTATAAACTATGTTGAGTTATTTCCTAGATTTTTTTTTATATTTTACAAATATTAAGTCTAGGTGGCTGAACCAAAATGCGTTTACCCAGCATATAGCTGAATGGATGACGTCTGCAGCCCATTGCTGCCACTACACGGAACTGAGTATAGGAAATATCCGCTCAGTGAACACATTATGATTTATTCCCTTAGTTTAGCCCATTACTCCTAATGTGCACCTTTCTCCATGTATGGTGTTTAGAAAAAAAAAAAGTTAACTTGAATCTAAGCTTGTCCAAGTAATTTGTCTCACATTTTCAGGAGATGTACGGGAGTCAGCAGGTGTATCTTGACAAGCATCCAGCGGTCTCATTGGATCTGGCATCCAAACGGGAAAGGAAGACACACAGGTAACCTTAACATTTTAAATTTAAGTATTTATATCCTGTTTAATGGCATCTTTACCTGGTTTAAAATATTACTTGTAGAATCTTGTACCATGTTAGCCATTGAGCAAGCCCATTCAGCAAGTATGGAGTTTTAAACTGACCTATGGGCACACAAATTGTCATTTTAATATACTTTTTAATAACCACAAATAATATAAATCCACTTTCTGTGCACAAAATTCCTTTGCAAACCAGTTATTTCCTTGTAAAAGTAGCAGTTGTATCATCACTGTGCAAAAGATCAGAGCCGTGGGACGGGCCCACTACAGGCTGCCTGCAGAAAACTACTGGATGGGGCATACACAAGACCAGTCACCCTGCACAAGGAGAGAGAGAGCAGCAGTGACCGCTCTTTATTACAGGTTTCTCTTGCACAGAAGCAAAGTTTCACACTGGGTTGCAGTGCAGATCTGGAAGAAACACACAAAGCACATCAAGATTTAATTAACAATACACATCTTTTGCATTTAGAAAAATGGGCTTATTTTGGAGTTCAGCTTTATATTATACCCTTTATTAGCTAACTTAAGTTATTAACCAGTTGACATCCGCGGTGTTAAACCCCCTTCCCATCCAGGCCATTTTTCAGTATTCAGCGCTGCGGTACTTTGACTGACATTTATTCCGTCATGCAGCGCTGTACTGAAATGAATTTTATACCC